CGGTCTACCCGCCAGATAGGCCAGTGACGGCCATGCACACGCCGAGAGGGTTAATTCACATGAATGTGGCGCCGCAAGGGTGGACGAATGCAGTGGCCATGGTTCAACGTCACATAATCCGGGTCATGCAGAGCCCAAGCATTACGCAACCGTACATCGACGACTTAGCGGTAAAAGGGGCTAGAGAGAAGGAGTGTGACGAAGTCTTGCCGGGGGTTAGGCGTTTTGTGTGGCAGCATATTAAGGATCTTGACAAAGTCCTGAGTTTGCTAGAGGAATACAACCTTACGGCAAGTGGACCTAAATCTAAACATTGCATGAAGGAAGCGACAATTTTGGGCTTTGTCTGTAATGAAGAAGGTCGTCGGCCTGACATAAAGAAGACAGATAAGATCATAGAATGACCGGTACCCTTTCAGTCTGTTACGGACGTAAGAAGTTTCCTCGGCACATGGGGGTTTTGGCGTACTTTCGTCAAGAATTTTGCCGCTAAGACTGAGCACTTAAGAAAGCTAGTTCGTCAGGATCAGGAATGAATCTAGGGTAAGGATCAAGAGGAAGCAGTGGCCAGAATGAAGGAGGAGTTTCGGGAAGGAGGATTGGTCTTGGGAGCACCCGACTACGATGCAGTGGAAGGAAGGCCGTTCATAGTGGAGACAGATGCATGGCCAACTGCTCTAGGTAAAGTTCTTATCCAGGCGGATGCAGAAAACAAGGAGCGACTTTTCAAATTCGAAAGTCGGACTCTTAATTCTGTTGAGAGGAATTACTCGGAGTTTAAGAAGGAGACCCTCGCAGTGCTCCATTGTCTGAGGATCTTCCGAAATTATATTTTCGGTAGAAGGTTTGTACTAAGGGTTGATCCTACTGCGCTAGCCTACTCTTTGAGGAACTATATCCCATTGGATCCTACAGTTGCCAGATGGCTGACATATATCTGGATGTTCGATTTCAAGTTAGAAAGGATTCCTGGGGATAAGAATAGGGCGAATGGGCTAAGTCGAATCGACTGGGATCAAAAGCAGGGTGAGGCAGAGGAGACGACGGAGGAAGAGGAAGATGTAAGACTCCACATCAATGAGTGGTCTTTGCGCCTGCCTAGTTGCATCTGCTATCCCATTCGGATGACGCCAAAGGGGTATGAGCGGAAGGCGGAGTTGGTACTCAAGCCCTTTGAGGAAGAAGATCCATGGGTGGTAAAGATATTGGGTGGATGATGAAGTTGGCGCTGGCCGGAACTCACAACATGGTGGACGATCTTCATACAATAGAGGAGGGACCAGACAAGGTAGAACGACACGAGGAGTTGATGGGAGGAATGTACCTCCTTGTTAACACTCTGCTACAAGGGAACTGGGATCAGGTGAACCCGGTCGACCAAGGGGAGCTGCCAGAAAGCTACGATGATGAGTTTGAGGAAGGGGAGATAAAGGAGGCTTTCCGTGCAGAGGAGTATGATGGGATCTACCTAGAGCTAGGGCTCCTTCTATCTTGTGAGGTGAGAAACAGACGCCAACGAACGTGCGCAAAGGATGAGACATCTCTACTTGGTGAGAGACGACCATCTTTTTGCGAAAAGACAAGTGGGGAATCCTAGGAGGGTCGTATGCGGCAGGAATCGGCAGATAGATATTATAGTTGCGCTTCATGATGGCATAGCAGGTGGGCATCGAGGGGTTATGGCCACCTATGCAAAGATAAGCGAGCTATACTACTGGGATGGGATGATGGAGATGATTAGCCAATTCTGCCGCTCATGCGTACCCTGCCAGGAAAGGTCATCTCAACGACCGGGAGAGCCTCTACACCCTAGGCTGGAGAGGGAAGTTGGTGCAGTGGTCCACCTCGACTTATTGTTTATGCCAACTGGGGAGCAAGGCCATAACTATATCTTCGATGCGCGAGATAACCTGTCCGGGTTTGTTGATGGACGGGCTATTCGCAACAAGACTGGACCAGTCTTGGTAAGTTGCATCGAGGAATACTACCTACGCTACCCTTTTGTCAAAGAGTTTGTGATGGATAGAGGGTCGGAATTTACCTGCCAAGAGGTGCAGGATTTGCTGGCAAGGTATGGGGTTGTGACCAACTACACTACGGCCGCACACCCCCAGGCTAATGCGCCAGTTGAAAGAGGTCATAGCACCATCACAAACCTTTTGGCTAAGTGGATTGAGGGCAGGCCCAATCAATGGCCAAAGTACCTGAGAGCGGCGTTCTTTGTTGATAACATTATAGTAAAAAGGACCACGAAGTATGCGCCAGCTACATTGTGGTATGGGAGACACGCAACCTTTCCCATTGAGAGCTTTCTGAAAACCTGGAGGCGTAAGGATCTGGAAACCAATYTRTCATTTGAGGAGTTGCTTGACATTCGGGCGCGGCAGATTGGAGCCATTGAGGAGAGGATTCAGGAAGCATCTAATCAGATGGAACAAAGCCGCATGGAGGATAAAGCTCGATGGGACCAGATGGCGCGTGTAAGGAAGGTGCCGCTGCAAGTAGGGGACGTGGTGCTGCTGTATGACTCATCCTTGGAGAAGCAGTGGTCCAGAAAGTTGGATAAGAGGTGGCTAGGGCCGTATYGGATCGCACGCKGCGGGGATTTTGGGGCCTATCAGATTGAGGAATTGGATGGGACAGGATGGAAGGATTGGGTCTCAGGATCAAGACTGAAGAAGTTCGTTGCCAGGRAAGAGGTGAGATAGTGGACCCTGCCCACTATAGATGGTGATAAGTCGTAGAGTAGTGAGTCATAGATTAATGTGATGGATGATGTTTAGAGGTTAGATTGATTGGCGGGTAGAATGCATGGATAGAGGTGGGGGTTGGTCTGCTCTGCGTGTGGTCTAGTTTGCCTGCTTATTTATCCCGTGGTGCGCCTGTCGTCCCTTTTCCTGATGCGCATGTCTGACTTTTCGAAGACAGTCATGCCGAGGGAAGGGGAGGGGCGACGACCACCTCAACGGCGTATGAGAGTTCCCAGGGATTTTGAGCGGCATCGGCCATACCAGAGAGATGCCCGCTTACGACAGAGACCTTTGGGGGCGCCTGGAGGGGTTGAGCGACCTCGACGAGAGCACACGCCGGTTTTCGATGATGATAACGTTGAGCTCTTTTTGGATTCCTTCCAGGAGCATGCGGCACGGAGGAGATGGGGTGTGCGTGAGAGGATTCGACACCTACGAGGGGTAGGGCTTTTTGAGGAGCCCGTGGCGCGCATTCGAGAGGGGGCGGTGACCTGGGCAGAGGTGGAAAGGAGGATGCACGGGTTGAGGGTGACGCCAATGGACCAGGATGGGGCACCTATCAGCCTACAGTACGGTAACGTGGATGAGTTTCTACCAGCTTATGAGCGATGTATGCGAGATTTGGAGTACCCACGAGAGGAGTGGATGCAGGCGTTGCTCTTATGGACCAGGCCGGCGGMGAGAGCGATGGTTAGGCAGATCCGGGACAGAGCTGCTGACTGGGAAGGCTGCCAAGCCCGTTTAAGAYGAGARTTTCARCGACCAGAGCCARAARGGCGAGGGCCYGAGCGGGAGGGGAGACAKGGGYCGTRGCCCTCACCTATGGGAGTGGATGGCAGGCCGATTYGTCTGGCAATTGGGAACYAGGAGGAGTTMATCCCKRCCTTTGAGCAGTTCATGCATRCCCAGCAGGTCGTGAGAGACGAGTGGGCCAGTAGGCTGCCACTATGGACCAGGCGGGCAGACAGACCTCTGGCAAGGCAGATCAGAGGCATGGCTCAGAACTGGGAGAGCTGCAGGGCTCATGTGTTGGCAACATTTCGGAGACCAGAGCCACCCCAGCCTGGAGTCGAGAGGGAACCGCAGGGTGAGAGGCCGATAGATCCTGAGCCTAAAAGGCCTGTGACATCTCGCGGAGGACGGAATGCACTCGCTGGGCGAGAACAAGAGGTGGAGATTGAGACAGAGGAGCAGGGAGCCTACCCAGAGTGTGGGATAGGGCCAGTGGTGTTCCCTCAAGGAACTTCAGGGGAACAGGGAGCATCACCACAGCACGATCAGGAGGAGGCACCACCATCTGTCTAACTCTACGAGAGTTAGAGGCACACTTGGATGTCTCACAATGGAGAGCGCCACAAATGAGAGGTCGGCATGACGAGGCCCAAGGGCATGAGTCAGGGGAAGGGCCGAGCATGGAGGGCATGCGCACTGAGGGGGAAGTGGTAGAGGTTGAGGAGGACACTCCACCTCAGACGCCAGCCGTTGGATTGAGATTGGGGAGCGAGACAGCGGGGGCTCCACAGCAAGGACAGTCGTCGCCATTACCTCCAGATATGACGTCTCCACAAGAAGGGAGGACGGACACAGAGGGCGAGAGGGTAGATCGGAGGAGAGAGGCGATTGCCTTGATTGATAGACATTTGACTGCTGACGTCCAGGAGCATCCTGACTTAGGGGGGCCAGCATCTACAGAGTCGCCCGAAGAGCCAACACTTATAGAGCTACCTCGAGAGCCACATCAGCCAGAGAGAGAGATGGAGCCTGAGATTCCAGCGAGAGCAGATGGCCGTACGAGAGAGAGGGTTCCAGCACGAGAGACTGCCAAGGAGAAGCGGGCCAGAGATTTATGAGGAGAGGCATAGATTGGAGGCTGCAGGAAAGCTCCCAGCCCCGCCACCCGCGTCACCACCCAGACCCTCGGGAGTGAGAGAGATGTGGGAGGAGTTCTTAAGCCAATACAATGAGAAGGTGGCATCCCCAGAGAGAGCGGGTTTTCAGACGGCCAGGGCAGTCAGCGAGTATCTGGATCGCAAGGTCCGCTTTCTAGCCAAGACCTCCTTTGATCGTCACTTGTTGATAGAGGCAGATCTGGCTGGCAAGAAGTTAAAGGAGTCAAGCCAGGGGGTACGATTGGAGACAGCTGAGGAGGAGATCCGGGAGCTCAAGGCATTGGTAGCCAAGCAGGCCGTCATTATCGAGGACCTGAGGCAGCGATGTGAGGGGCTAGAGGCACCTGCCAGTACCAGGGATCAGGCAGGGTGCAGTCATCATGATGTCCAAGATGAGACAGCACAGGGTCCACTTGAGAGGCCGACAGTGGATGAGCCTTCCCAAGAGCCAGCCATGGGGAGAGTTATGTTAGAGCCAGAGGAAGCAAGAGCAAGGAGGGAGGCAGAGAGAGAGGCCTTCGAGTTTAGGACTCCTACTGAACTTGCCACTCAGCCTGAGATCTCTTCTAATCCAGTGTTGAGATCCTCAGTACCTCATGTAGGGGACAGGCCACGGGCTGCCATTAGTACGCAGACCTTGGGGTCAGATGATGGATCGATGAGCTTGCTCCTTGAGGTAGTCGACACTATGGAGAGTGTGGGAGGCTTATTCTCACCAGAACCGGGATTGGAGGAGCCTCGAGAGGATGGCTTGGATGTCATGATGGGGCGCGACTTTGAGAGCAGGCCTCAGAGATTAGATACGCCTGAGTATAGGCCAGACAGGATTGAGGTTCAGTCAGAACCTAGTACTCAGGAGTTGGAGGCAGAGCCAGAGGGATCATTTGGGAGGCCGCAGAGCCATGAGTTGAGCAGGGAGGCCAGTAAGGCACCTTCGTCGCCAGGGTCGCAGAGAGGAAAGAAGAGATCCAGGAAGAGACGTGATACCTCCTGTTTCTTCTGCCAAAAGGAGGGACATAGAGCCTTGCAGTGTCCTAAGTTCCTAAAGGACAAGGCTCAAGGAAACGTTACAGAGAGGGATGGACGGTTCTATGATAGGCAGGGCCGACTTGAGGAGAGATCTGCAGATGGGGGTAGAGCTCAGTTGTATAGGCAGAATCAGGAGGAGATTAGTGAGTAGAGTCTGGTCTGCATATACATTAAATAGAGTGTAGCTTGTTGGATTTGACTTTAGTCATGTACATATTCAGTTTTGATTGTGAGTAGTCTTGTCATTTTTGTACATATATGTAGAGTGTGACCCTGGTTAGATTACTGAATTCTGGGATAGATTCTTGACAGTGCTTAGTTGTATGATATACCAGCTTGTACGATTATAGTGTAGGTTGTATGAGGTATCTTGTGTGTGTTGGATACATTTTTGACTTCTCTTGTATACTACGACACGAGTTACTCAGTAGGACGAGGTATGAGGACTCAGTGCCTATGTTCAGAGGGAGAGCTTTTGTATATATATTTTGAGTTGGGACATTATGAGGCTGTGTTTGTGTCGATCACTATCACTCTCACTTTGTGTGGCTTTACCTTATGTATGATGGTTTTTGTATTGAAGATGCAATGRATGTATCTCATGTTTATGCATATGTGATATGTAAACTGCCTACTCCTCGGTATACTCATGCGGTCTGTCTAAAGGACAGACGATGAGGCAGGGTATAAGGGAAGGGAGAGCAGTTTGTCTTGTGAAAATTTGTGATGGTTTTGAGATGATTTATGAGCCCTTGAGGCTTGAATACTTGCCATGCTGTGTGATTTGGTCGGATGTGATGAGGACCCATAAGATGGTCTCTCAAATAATGTTTGTTCTGTAAATGAGACCCCTCGTGATTTTTTATTTTATTTTATTTTTTTATTTTTATTTTTTTCTTTTTGGGAGAGGGGATGTTTTTCTCCATGGTAAGATCCCCTTAGATTTTTGGACGAAGGGGATGATTTTGGTTGTTGAAAGGCTCACCCCAATAGGTGGGTAAACTGATTTACAGCATGGTAAGTTATCTGATTGGTGATAAAGTCTGACGAAAAAGACCACTTTTTGCTTGGAACGTTTGAAACAGTCGCAATGGATGAAGGGTGAGAGATATCTCAGGATGGGTGATTTCTGACTCTGATCAAGTCAGGGGTCACGGCCTTGTGGACCTAGCGGTGTATTTGGTTGTAATGGTGAGAAGGATGCCATGTTTTTTTTGGAAGGGATGGTAAATGCCTTTGTGTGAGACAGACCCCTGCGTAGTCCCGCAGTGAGTCGGTGTTTGTTTTGCGACACTCCGTCTAACCACCTATGCTAGTCCTGAGACATGTTAAAGGAAGGCCAAGCTAACGGAAAGGAAGTTAGTACCACTTTGGGCGCAACCCCAGTGGATGGCTGCTTGCCGACACAACCTGGCTGCGGGATCGCAAAGTAAGAGTTTAAGGGGAGTTGCCCACCCCAAGGAAATTACTTCGCAGGGTAAAAGTCGAGTCTTTCTTAGGAAGCCCTGATTGGAAGGTTATCAGGGAAAAGCCTATCGCTGCGCAACCAGTGAGGGTACTGCCGCTAAATAACAAATGCGGTGGGCCGTAGTCATGGTCCGATCAACCAGGCTATGGTGGGCCAAGATGGAAACCTGGCCTTTTTGTACTAGACTGCAGAAAGAGCCGAGTGAAGGTTATGCATGTGAATACACATGTGTATTTGTTTGTGAGAAACTTCTTGAAAGGGAAGGCAAGTGTGCCTTCAAAGGTCTCGGTTAGGGCCCGCGCCCCTAGTTTTTGCCAGGACTAGGGGCACCCAACGAGAAGCCGAAGGTTGTCTAGGGCCGGGGTGTGAGGATAATTGAGAAAGGCCATTGGAACTTATGCTGCCCGTTTCCGATTGACATCGGTGAGAGAGGACTCGGATTGGGATCCGGACAGCGTATAGTTGCAAAGGCATGTTTTGATGGAAGCCTCCACCTCGAGCCTGTCGGCTGATCGGATTGGTCTCTCTTTCGTCAGCATCTTGAGTAAATCTGATAACTTTTTGATTTTGCGAAGCGACGAGGGAGTCGCTTGATATGGTCCGGTAAGTGACGGGGACGTCGCTTATTATGGTCCGGTAAGTTGTCGGTGCGGATACCCTTACAAGGGTACTCGCACGGTGTTTTCGTGGTTGACAAAGGTATATGTCGATTTAGAGTTTATTAAGAAGGACCGCGCGAATCACGGGGTCGCGCAGACTAAAGGCGCAGTGACAGCGTCTAGATTAAAGAGTGTGTGAGCGTGCACTTTGTGGGCACGGACTAACTTGACCAAACCCTGATCGAGGAAGACCACAACGCGTGGTATACCGAGTAGGTGCTAGGCTAAAACTTCTGAGGCAGTCGCGGCCTCGCACGCACAGGCGGAATTTCGGACGGCATGAAGACGACTTGGTAGGACTATGACTAAAAGGGAACGTCGCCCGACTTATTGAGAACCGGTGGTTTCGGGCCGTGCCGTGTAGAGTTCGCAGGCATCAGGTTAACCTTACACCGTCGAAGGTAGGAGTCGCCAGTGAGTCCAAGTAAGGGCGGCACTGAGAAGAACAATGAGTGGGGTTTTCTCGGCGGAGAGGCGGTAAAAAGGCATCGTGGCAGGTCATGAGAAGCTCGACCCGCCACCCTGCCGTGGTTGGGCTGGCGAGTGTGGTAAGCCAATGGACCTGTGCCTTCAAAATTGCCAAGTACGGCTTTGGGGAGCCCAGGACGCAGGCCGTAGGTGGGAAAAACGGCCTGGGGTACCACTTTGCAGGTCTGAACAGGCTGCCCTTACTCTTTAAGAGTAGGACTGCGCCCAATGCTACCAAGTTGGGGTTTAGCCCTATAGGTTACGACGCTGAGCTTTCACCAGGCAGATCCCGGGATCGAGGCCAGCAGGCAGCAGCGGAGCAGCGAGGAGCGCAACTTGGAGAGAACCGAGGGGTTGAGGGTCCCACGGGACTATCCCCCTTGGTTTTGCGAGGAGTCCCGACGACGGGCCCGACGGCCAGGACCGAGGCCCATGTCCCAGCGGTTCCCATCCCCCAACCCGTTTTCTAACTTTTTTAATTTTTATTGATTATTATTTTTATTTTTATTT